ACTATTGTCCATGAGATGGTGTAGCAATTGTAACAATTCAAAGTTTTATTTTTTCGAATATGTATTTTTAGAAATAAAAAAGCAAAATCCTTTGCAATTTGATGTATATTAAATTGAGAAGCTTTAGAAGGCTGCAGTGCACTCATAGGGGTACTGTTGCAGTACAATTAAGTAGTAACACCACACTCTCCGTAAGGCTGTGACTCAGTAAAGGCATATTTCTCTTATGTAAGGCATATTTTCTTCATGAAACCCCAAATCTCGGGTAAATTTGAGCATAATGTCATGGTTCTATAAAATAAAGCTAAGATTTTTGTAACACCGAATCAAATCATGGCTGTTGTTTAGTGCCATATTTGATGTGAAAGTGTTAACAATCAGTGAACAAATACAAGGAAATTAAATTTAAAATGCCTAGCAAAGCGTGAAGGCAAAATGCAAAAGTAAGCATACAACAAATCCCAGATTTCTTTCTGGAAGAAATTATGAGGCAAGTGCAATAGTAGCTCACACAAAATCATGTTCCATATGTTATTTTTAACAAAATGTATCTCCATCTCCACAGGCTGCAAAGGAATGGAAAGACAAAATGCATTCATGATCATGCAGTCACGAGACAAAGCTCTCCTGAATGTGCACCAACTTTTACTAAATTTAAGGGAACTCTAGACTGTTTGAATTTTTTACAACTGGAATTTGCCACTAACTGTAAAAACAACATGTGTTGGTCCAATTGCATTAAAGTGGGAAATCTATGTTGCATGTCCCCACAACACTGCATGAAATATGTACTGAAGTTTCATACTTTGTATCTTTGTCACCAGGTTTTTGCACTGCTCAGTCAGACACAGTAGGACCGCTGAGCCTGAGACTCACATGCATTACTGGAGTGGCTCCCTGTCTATGTTCTTGATGCTCTCTTGTTGACAGAGGTTAGACAGAAAAATAAGCTGGCTTGACTTCAGCCTTTTTTAAATACTAGGTACTTGCAAGTTTGGCTTAGCTTGAGCAAGTCAGAGACCGAGAAGTGACTGCAGATCTCAGGGGGGAATAGTCATTATCTGGGAATTAAAAACCTTTTGAGCTAGAAATGTAAGATGAGTTTATTTCTAGACTGAAAAAGCAGCACTATGTGTGTTTTGGGGATCAGTGACTATGACCTCTTTTTAGATAATGTGTCTTCCCTTCTCTTTCCCCACGTCACAAATTGACAATCATATCTGACTCCAGCCTGCCAATTCAAACACAGTGAAGAGGACAATTAAACCAGTTAACTTCATATAACAAGTTTCATGCTACACCTCTTACTACCTGTTCTCCTCTAGCAGGCATCAAGGTGCAAAACCATCATAAACGACATCCTCCAAGCGATGGGTAGGTTAGTGGTTCACCACAACTGGTCTTGACCACCACTGACCTTCTGACCGACCTGGCACTGACCTGGTCCTGCACAAGCCTGGTGCTGCTGACCCTCCAGCTCTGTGCACCCCATTGACCCCTCCTCTCATTACACCAGGGGTAGATTCTTGCAAACTTAAATCTGCTTAGCATGAGCACTGGAGTATGAGACCTGCGAGTGTTTCGTTAGCCACAGGAAGGAGTCTGTATCACTGGGAAAGAGAAGACAAAGTAACCTGAGGCCAAATCCTTCCTCCAGACCAAAGTGCCTTCAGCCTTCATTCAGGCAATACATACCAGTGGCCATGGTTGATGAGTGTGGGATTTTTGCAAGACTAGGGAAAGCAGAACTTGCAGCTTTTGTTAATGTTGAAAAAAAAAGACCTACCAAAAAAACCCCCAAGACTACTGAGTTATGACAAACTGTTGCTTTAGCTGTCTTCTGGTAGCAGCCAGTATTTTCCAGAGAAGCCAAAAAGAAACACTACTCTAATGTGTGTATCCAGATGTGCAGCTGTGTGTGCAGGGAATGAAACCCCTAAAGCCTACTGCTATACCATCCTCATTTTTTCCTAAAAAATTTTAGGAAAAAATGGGGCTAATATCGAGAATACATTATTTGAAGCATTTAGTATTCCCTGTTTGTTTCTCCTCAATTTTGGCATGAGGACAGTTCTAAGCAGGAAGACTAAGGAAACTGTATGTGTACAAATAATAACAGCCATCCAGCCATCAGGAGAAATAAAACTGAGGATTGTATTGCATGCAGGCAGTTAAACAAAATTATTACCAGCAGGTGCTATATACTGTTCTTTAGCAAGCAAGTTCAATACAGGTTTTGATGTATTTTGGAGAATTAGCAAATAAACAGGATAAAATCTGATTGCATGAGGTGCTTACAAAACTTGACTGCAGACAACAGCAGTCTTTCTAGTGGCCTCACTGGCCTGGGGTTCAGCCCACAGTTTGTATCAGAAAAGATGTGAGCATGACCAGAACGCGGTGACTGTGTACGGTGCCGGGGGCTCCAGTAAGATGAGGGAGAGCACAAGGAGGTATCCTGTAGGATTAAAGCAGCTGTGATGGTGAAGGTGTACATTAGCATGTCTGTGGCCTTCTTATGTGATTTACAGCATGCAGCTGCAAAAACAGAGCTAAATGGGGGCTGTGAACTTTTCGCCCCTGTTAAATCCATTTGTGATATCTAGAAACATTATAAAGTCCATATTCATGTGTCAAAAATACCCCTTTTTTCCAAAACCAGACAGTTATTCCAATATGAAATATGGCACTCTAAAATGTAGTAAATAGTCACGCTAACTACTGCAGTAGAATAGATTGCTATTAAAAAAAAAAAAAAAAATACTGTCAAAGATGAAACTTAGTGGCTCTGATAACAATCTGAGGAAATGTCCATGAGTTTACTAACAGCAGAGCTTTTTAAGCAAATGCACACTTTGATGTAAGATTAAAGGACAAGAATAGACTATGGACAAATTTATGTAGAAATTAGAAGATTTTTAACCAAAGCAGCAAGATTCCCATGGTGGGAGTAGTGGCAACAAAAGTCCTAACTGAGTATAGGACACAGCTTGCTCAGCTCATAAGCCTGCCTGAGTTTCTGCAGTTCCCTGTTCCTACTACTTTTCTTTGATTAAGTGCACCAAAGATCTCACGTGTTGCAAGATCCAAGGCCTACATTAATGATGAAAGAGTGCAGGATAAAAGATATGGAGCTCTCTGATGTGTCCTAAAGGCACCTGCTTTGTTATCAGAAAGTGCCAGCGACAGAAGAGGTTGGTTTCACAAAAACTGAGCTCAGCAGGATCAGAAATGGAGAACCTCAGGCTGGATTCCCAGAAAGCACCACGTTTAATTCTCTGTTTGGAACCTCCTGATCATTTGAGCTATAGGTAAATGAGCATAATTTTTCCTTTTTCAGTGCTCTCTATCTCAAATAAATTTATCTCTTATATAAAATAAAACAAAAAAGGGTCCTACTATACAGATTTCATCTGAAAATGAGCTCACAGCCATGAAGCTATTCAACAGTTGGGTTACAAATAGCACAAAATGTCATGCCATGTAAAAGCAACCTTTTTAGAACACTTATAATCACGGGTGTCTGATTTTTTTAAAAAGTGTCCTTGAAAGAATTGCTTAAACAAATATTCCCAGGTCAGATTTATACTGTGTTGTGAATTAAAACATAGGTGAAATTGGCTCGACACATTTTCACACAGAAGTGGTTTTTACATCTTCAGCACCCCAATGTGAAAAAAACAAGCATAAGTAATAAAGGATATTAGGCTTCAAAATAATTTCTGATTTAAATATGACCGTATACTTCTTTAATAAATTAATGTGTGCTTTTAGAAACATGTACGTGATTTTGCAAATGCTTCAGGAGCTTTTAAATTTTATTTGTAAGAGAAACCCTGTTTAATGTAAAGTGCGAACATAAGTCTCTGCAAACTCAGGCCATGATTTTCCTTGTGCCCATTTCCCTTCTAATGCTGCAAATCAGTTTTTGCACACAGCACCAGACATCTGAGGCCAAAAGAAGTCCAAACGTGAGCGAAATACGTGCGGCTTTGTTTTCATCAGCAAAATGTCATGAAAAAGAGAGGCAGCAATTGCCTTTTTTAAGACAAAGACCAGATTGGTTCTGTCAGCCTGGGGTGGTGGAAATGTCTGACAGAGGCTTACTGAGGACACAAAATCAGGTGGCTGGTGTCACATCGCCCAGTGATGGGTAGGTCCCAGCTGAGACCCTGGCTGCTCTGGATCCTGTCCTGAGGAGCTGGGTGTCCCCAGTAGCTGCAGGAGGACCCGGGGCACTACTTGTATCATACTCCGCTTTCCCTTGCAGGGTCAGGGATCAGAAAATCAGCTCTCAGCCTAAACATGGTATTGCAGACCTGGGCCCAGGGAATCCTCTTCTGCAGTAGAGGAGCGGTGGGCTACTTGGGGTGTTTGCTGTGATGGGTTGAGCAGAGACCACCCGTGGGCGAAGGCTGTGCCTGGAGGGTCCATGCTGGCACTGCAAGCCATCTGCATCCCTCTGTGCAATCTGTCTACACTTATTGCAAAGTCTTACCCACATGCTAAAAACATCTGGTTTGGATAACCCCAAGATATTTCTCAATGTTTTTCTAACGTCTTTGTCCATCCTTTAAATCTGTGCCAAACCTCCTCCTTTTCTTCCTTCCCGTGTAGTTTTGGTTATGTCAGTTCAGTGTCACACGTTACAGGACTTTTAGCAGCTCAGCTTTACAGCAAATTGCCTTCACCTCCACGTACTCAAACCTGTTAGCTTTTATTTTAGCTGGCTTTAAGGAAGTTGCAAAATGTATTTATGATTGAGTTTTGACCTAGGATTAGTATTATTTATGCTGGTTCTGCAGGCTGTTTCCTTAAAAAACCCACCAGCTGGGCACCGGCAGTTACAGCCTGAGTTTGTACACTTTGTCACAGAACAGGGGTCTTACTGCCCTGTTTTCTCTCTGCCACAAACCCAGTGGTTGTGGCCGGGGGAGGTGAGATCCAGCTCTTTTCTGTTCTCCTTACACACCTGCTGCAGGACCAGGACCCCTACTCACCCCAGCTCAGGGTACCGCGCCATGACGTAGCTGTAGCATCTTCCCAGGATGACTTCTTGCAGATTCTTAGTGGTCCCTCTGTCCTTCCACTTCAGCATTTTGGAACCAACCTCTTGCTTCCTCGGAGTCAGGACAGAGGCCAGCACGACGGCGATGACGAGGACGGCCAGCAGGACCACCATCCCCACCAGAAGGACGGTTCGCTGCCGCGTCCGGGCAGAGCCCTGCTGGAACGGCATCCTGCCAGCGCTGCCTGAAGAGCAGCGGCAACTGCTCTCCCAGCGCAAAGGGAAAACAGCTTTCCAGCGTCCGGCTGGGCGCCTCCCCCCGCCGCCCTGGGCTCAGCCCCAGCACTGGCCGGGAGGCCAGCCTGACCCCCTGTGTCAGCTTTGATAAGACCAAGATCTTAATAAGACCAGGGGATGCAGCGGCTGATCCAGAGCTTCCACCAGAACAGGAGGCTGCTGCCCACCATCCCGTTCTCAGCCGGCTTGGGACTATTCATCCCTTTTTAAAGACAAACAGCGGCTTTCAGGGCTCGACACAGGAAGATCAGAGCCTCACCGCTGTTTGCCTTCTGCTTCTCGCTTTACCATGACCATCCTGAGTTAAACTTTGCAAAGTTATCAGCAATAACTCGCAAAAGTGCATCTCAGGAAATTACTCGTAAAACTTCCTGAGCCTTTGTTCAAATAAAGGTCCCATTGTAGTGACATGTTCCAGCTAATGTGTGAGTAAAAGCTGAACTCAAACAATGCCAGTCTGTTTTCTGTAAATTAATTTGGTTTTAAGTGCTAGGTGTTGAATCTGACTTTACTGAAGGTGATTATGAACTTTGCAGTAGTTCATAAGTTCATATAATTCAAGTCATCAGCACACAATGGGGTGTTATTTCTCTCCCTTGCAGATAGGTTGGGATTAGTTGTCACATGAATTTCTAAGACTAGTGTGTAAATTGTGGGTGTTTGAGGCTGTGTGAAGTCACCGAAGGAAGCAATAATTGTTCCCTGGAAGAGGGAAGTTAGTTTCTTATTGTCCTCTGCAAAAAGAAAAATTCTCCTTTAGTCAAAAGCCAACATAAATTAAGACTCAAATCTCAAAATCTAAGCAAAAGAAGCTATGCAATGTCAGAACAACGTTAACTATAAATTATTAATAAAATGTTGATAATTGCTTACCAAGCATCTATCTTTAACAGGTTGACTGTGAGAAAGGGCACCTGTAGCACATCTCCGTTAGGACTAGGAAGTTCTGAAAGACCAGAGAAATGCTGTGCTCTGACCAAAGCCTTCCCTGGTAAGCAGTGTGTTAAGCACCTAACCTGAATTTTTCTGATCCTGCTTTCTGGGAAATGATGCAAACTTTGGGAGGGTTTTACTCAGGATTGAAGCTTCAGTTTCAGTGTGGCATATCAGGCTGTCAGCCCTGAAGTGGTCAGGCAGTTGGACTAGGTGATTGTTGTAGGTCCCTTCCAACTGAAATATTCTACTTGATATCTCTTCCTAACAGTGTCATCTCTTCAGAAGACAGCTAACAGTCCCCTCAGTGGTCCCCATTGCAGGTTCTGCAAAAACCTCAGGAAGCTCCGTAGGCGACAGTTCAGTAAGAATTAGCTCATAAAGGAAGTTTTCCCCCGTAATCCTTTCAATAAGCATGTGGGTTTTGCCTTAGCAGGCTGAGATGATTGTTCTTTACTTGTTCCTTGTATTCATCATCCTGTGAATATGAATGCAAAGTATTCACAGCTGAATTTTGTGATCTTTTATTATAAACAAGAGGGGTTATTGAATCTGGTTTATTTTTCCCTTAAATATTAGCAAGTGTTTTCAACTTGCTGCTTTTCAGTTTCACTAAATAAGATACCATGTTTTAAAGAAAACAACTAGTCACCCTAAGCAGTTTATGCAGTGAAACTGCCATCTCTGCCTGCTCTGGGTGTTGAAGATACCTATCTTCAGTAAGTCTAAGAGTTGCTTTTAGAGTGGAATGGTGGAATAGTTAATTTAAAAGTTTAAAACTTTTAGAAAACACTGTTTTTCAGTAACCTGGTGAGATAAAACTTTTTTCTCCTGCTCAGATATGACATTGATTCATTAAGAATAAATAAATAAAGCAAATGGTGGCTCAGTGGCTCTGGAAGGTATCCTCGCTGCTGATTTTGTAACAGCTCTACAACTACACGAGGAATGTCACAGACAAGTAAATGTCAAGTCTCCTTTCAGCAAGCCTTGGCAGCCTGATCAGGGTGAATAAATAGGACAAGCAGAGTGGAGGGGGCAGCAGAAAGGCCAGTAAAAAGCACATGCTCCCAGCAAAAGAAGGTGGTAGGTTCTTTCCCAGTATGACTGTGAGCATGAACTCACTCCTTGGAAATGTTCTGGCCCAAGAGTATTTCCACGAGAGGCATAAGTAAGATGATAATGGTGTGTTAGTGAAGAAGGGATGAAACAGTATTCCCTGAACACTGTGGGTGTGCTGGTGGACAGCAGGCTGGACATGAGCCAGCAGTGTGTCCTTGTGGCCAGGAAGGCCAACAGTATCCTGGGGTGCATTAAAAAGAGCGTGGCCAGCAGGTCGAGGGAGGTTCTCCTCCCCCTCTACTCTGCCCTGGTGAGGCCACATCTGGAATACTGTGTCCGGTTCTCAGCTCCCCAGTTCAAGAGGGACAGGGATCTTCTAGAGAGAGTCCAGCAGAGGGCACAAAGATGATGAGGGGCCTGGAGCATCTGCCTTACGAGGAGAGGCTGAGAGAGCTGGGACTCTTCAGCCTGGAGAAGAGAAGACTGAGAGGGGACCTTATCAATGTCTATAAATACCTGAAGTGCAGGGGCCAAATGGATGGGGCCGGGCTCTTTTTAGTGGTGCCCAGTGACAGGACAAGGGACAATGGGCAAAAACTGGAACACAGAAAGTTCCATACAATCTTAAGGAAAAACTTCTTTACTGTGAGGGTGTCAGAACACTGGAACAGGCTGCCCAGAGAGGTTTTGGAGTTTCCTTCTCTGGAGATGTTCAAAACCTGCCTGCATGAAGTCCTGTGCAACTTGCTGTAGGTGAACCTGCTTTGGCAGGTGGGATGGTCTAGATGATCTCCTGAGGTCCCTTCCAACCCCTACCATTCTGTGATTCTGTGATTCTGTGAACAGGGTGATGGGAGGGGAGCACAGAAGAGAAAGTGAAATGAGAAAGGACAAAGGAAGGTGAAAAGCAGTGTGTTTTACAAGGGTCTCGCATCCCCTTAGCTCTGTGGAGTGAGCTGAATTTCACTTCTTTCCTAACCAGTTTTGCCAAGCACACAACCTTAAGCTGAGTGACTTTTTTCCACAGGAATTCAGTAACCTCAACAGGACCCTAAGGAAATATGAATTTAGGATTTCCCCTGAGATTGCAGGGAAGCCTCATGGATCTCCATCCTTCTTGAACTGGGTTGCTGGTGATTATTTTTACCTCCTATAAGGAAAATTTTTAAAAGCACCATTTCTCCTAAACTGATAGCCAACTTCTGGAGCCCTCTGAGCTATGGGAATCTCAAAGAAAACAAATCTAAACTAATCCTGGTCTTATCAAGGTGTGTCCACTCTTCTGTCGGTGTTTACACTAAATCTTTGGGCAGGGTGATTAGAAAGTGGGTGTAAAAGATCAGAAGATTAAAATATTTCAGACACATAATTGCCAGCCTCTGCCTTGATACCATGTGTTGCGACAGGGGACTTCGATAAGAATGGACCTCTATCAAGTATAATTTATCAGCCTGCATACGTACTGCTAGGAGTATTGTAAGAGAAAAGCAGCTAGTTTCCACTGCTACCTGCAAGTTCTGCAGATCCTGCTTTTAAGGCAGCAAGGGATAACAAAACACCTCCCAGCCGTTCCCAAGGTCTGATTGCCCAAAAGTTTGATTCATCTTTTTTTTATTTTTTCTTTTTTTTTCTTTCTTTTCTTTTTTTTTTTTTTTTTTACTATCCATCAAATGTCAATAGTTCTAGCACTCAAAATATGGCTGAAGACACAAAAAAATTCTTCATAGCAGAAATTGCCGGTAAAAGGTGGTGTCCAGCAGGTGGGACTGAACCCGTCTCAAAAAACAGTGACCTGTAAACATAGGTAAGAAGATGTATGTTATGCATCTTTTCAGTGCTTCTATGAAACTCTGGAAGTGGTTCTATCTCAATGAGTAAAAAAGTTTGTTGAAAATATTTTATGATTGTGTGGTCTGCCTGTGTCCTGGTCTTTCCTCACTGGCCTCTATTTCCCGCCCGGATGTGCTGTGTGGCCAGCACTCTGGTAGAACTGGAAACAACGCCCTTGCCTTTAATGGAAGTGAGATTAGTTATACTAGCAGTGGATTTGTCCACATGATAGAGAAAAAAAAAGGCTGCTTCAAATGCTACACAGATAGTTTAGGAGTCATGAAGACTCATTTCATCGTGATGCACTGTATTACAATGATACCACAGTATTCACAGTGCCACTAATCTCTCACTGTCGTGGGGACACCTGTAATTGCTGGCTGTCACTTCTCAGCAGAACTTAGGAATGAGAGAATATGAACTGAAAAGAGCAGAAGTTGTTATAATAATTAAAGAAATTATGTCTTTCCTGGCCTTTGTTGGAATAGCAGTGACTCTTGTCTTCTCATCACTTCCCAACTTCACAGGGTAAATGCTGTCATAACATTTAGAGAACGTTTGAGATGAACACTGAAAATAAAATGATAAATGGGCTGGGAAAAGGAAACCAGCTAGTACAAAGTGACAACTGTGAAGAGCTGTATGCCATCCAGCCACATACACCAGCTACTGTGGAAAATGCTTCTGGGCATCCCATTCAGCTCTCCTTTCTTTCAACTCCTCTGCCTGCAACAACATGAGGTTGCTTTCCTGGAGAGCTGTGCTCTGGGCCAAGTGCATGAGTGCTTGCAGGATATAGGACAGTTAATTAACCTGTAAGGGTCTCTATCTTCCTTTTGGCAGATCCCACTGCACCTACCCTGGAGCTATAGGTGGACAAAGAGACTGACAGACAGACAATGATACCCTAACTCCAAACTTGCACTGGTGGCCATTAAAGGACATGAAAAATGACCCATTCATGTCTTCTTCTGGTGGACAAGAAGCTCAACATGAGGGGGGGAAAAGGCTGACAGATGTCGGAACGGACAAGCAAACCGAGTGATTGCATCGGCTTCCTTTCATTTGTGAACCAGGCTCAAGATAAATTAGCTCCTCATTTATAAGGG